TCCTCTCACTATCCTCTACAAAACCCTTGTTTGGTTTTCCATTTTTAAGCTTGGTTGCCTTGGATTATAGAGATTAAATTCTCTATTGAGGTAGGGGGTGTTATAATTTATTTTCTAAGTGATTTAATTGTTCTTGTAGTGATATCCAAGTTGTATGCATGTCTTGTATTGAAATGAGAAATAAATAATTAATTGTAGCTTGTATATAACTCACTTTAGACTTGATATATGGTATGGCCATGACTTGATCTTTGTTGTGTATTGATTTGGCATGATTTAAAAGAGCTTTTAAATCTAGATGATTAATTGATTTAAGTTGATTTAAATTCTAATCATTTGTACCATGCTTGTATTTCATTTTTGACTTGATATATGGCATAGCCATGAATTTTTCCTTGTTATATATTAAATTAGAATCATTTGGACAACTCTTGAAATCTAGAGAAATTACTTAGTTGGTATACTTAATTTCTATCATGTTGATCTAATGATTTAGTCATGTAATTCATAGAACTTGTTGTGTTTTATCACATATCATGACATGTTGCTCTACTTATTGATTTTGGAAACTTGGGATATCATCAAGAACTTGACATGGTTAGGACTTGGTTCTAGTTTAGGAGATAGAGCGCTCCCTAAACTATAGTGCGTACTAGGGGAAGGTACCCATGGGTTAATAGCTCTAAAGTGATATCAAGAGTACGGTTTTAGTCCAGGCGATATCAAAGTATCCACTTTAGTTTGATTTCACTCTTTAATTATCAAACTTAATAACCATGTGATATTGCATCTCATTATGCTATGTTAAAAGTTCCAATGTCATTTTTAATAGCATGGACTAAATCTTAATGAATTGTAGACTTTGTAATAAATTGAACTTATACATGCTCATTCCCTACGAGTAAACTTGTTTACTCACCCTGAAGTTACTGGGTGTTTTTCAGGTAAAGAGGCATCATTATGGGATGCACAACACTCTTAGACTTGAATATGCACTTGTTAGCATATCATGATCTTTTTTGATGTAATGTATAAAAACTTATATTTATTGTCTAAGCTATGTAATGTGCACTTATGTGCACCTTTTGTTACTCTTAGGACATATATGTAGTGAGGCCTTAGAGCCATTTTTTGTTTATTTCCTTTTATGGATTAAATTGCACCTTAAGTATGTTTGTCACACTTGCATATGATCATTTATGTTTATTTATGTTGTAGAGACTTGTATTTCATTTTTGGGAGTTAATGGAATCATTCTTGAACAAGCAGAGTGCATGTGTAAGGTCAAAAATGAACTTGCATTAGATAGCAGCATCTGCTGCAATATTTTTTTGCCTTGTTCCTAAGATCGAGCCGGCTCAATTGCCAAAGGAGCCGACTCTTTCTTCAACTGAGCCGACTCATTTCCCAAAAGAGTCGACTTAGTTCACCTGGGTATCATTTTCATCATTTTGCTTGCTCTCGGCCTAACTCAGCCGACTCAGTTCATAACCCAGCCGACTAAGTTGCTCTCGGCCTAAAAGAGCTGACTCAGTTTGGCTGCCATGATGACCTGTCTTTAAATGGTCATAACTTACTCATCTGAGGTCCAAATTAGGTTATTATTAAGCCTAAACTCAAGAGTTTGAAGTTAGCTTTCCAATGGTGCCAACCACACTTTGAAATTCGAACCGTAGTGAGAGTTATGACAGTTTTAGTGGGATATGTTCCCGGTGTCGCTTAGTCACAAGACGCCGCTTTGTTCTATCTTCATATCTTTATCATCCGGACTCCGAATCAAGTGATTCTTGAGTCTAACTTCTTCCATTTTTCATTGTATTTCCAATGGTATTCTTGGTAGTACCCACTTCCATTTTGGAAAAGACCATTTTACCCTTAGGCTTATTCTTGTCTGTTTTGAAACGTCGTTTCCGCAATTGTTTTCTCTGGGTTCCGTGACCTCGTTGATGGTCACATTGGTGTCTTATAGACATGTAGTATCTCTATGGACCATTATTTTACCTTTTGCATCCGCATTCTATTTCAATGTTGGATTTACTTACAGGTCACCGCTGACGCACCGGGTTGATTAAAACTCGGGTCATTACTGGTCCATGATCTCAAAATACACCCTATGCAAAATATGACATGTCCAAACCCCAAAATCATGAAAAATACCCTTTTAAAGGAATTTATGAAGTCAATCACCATAGATGCATTCAAAGAAACATTTGGCCCTTGGCCACACGTCACATATAATAAAAGAGCACTAGGGAAAGTGACAAAACGCAATTCCTACCAACCAAAATGAAATGGACATGCTAAAGCTTCACATTTTCCCAATTTTCACATATTTAAGCATATAACCAAGTAGGATAAAAGTAAAGCATGAGGTTCTTGGCCCTTGGCCCTTGGCCATATCACATACATGTCAAATAGGTCTTAAAGGATGCATTTAGGTACTTATTACATATCCCAAATAGAAAGTACAAGTTTTGACATAATTAACCAAAGATAAGGCAAAATCATGCTAGCAATGCATGAAAGGTGAACGCCACACTCATCAAGCGATAAAACAAGTTCAAGGATGTTGTACATCCCTAAAAAATAGTTATTTACATGAAAAATATCCCAACAACGAGGGTGAGTAAACCAATTACTCGTGCAAAATGAACATGCGTATAACCTAAAGTTTTGCATGTCTCTACAATTTTATATAAATCAATCCATGTGGTTCATGCTACCTAACGTCTATGTTCAAGGTGAGACTAAATGATCATCCTAAACTACATTAGAACATCCTCATCATAAACCACAATAAATAAACAATTAAGTAACATTGAAATTTCAATTACCAAATAACAAAATGTAAATTCACAAAGTAAACAACTTGGAATTGAAATGCGAAATCAAACAAGCGGAAAGGCTAGGACTATGGTCACAAGACCAAGTAAGTTGTTCTGGGTAATTACGACCCACAAGGAATTACCTAGTACGCACTTGTGACTAAGGGAGACCATGTCCCCGTACTAGAGCCGAACCCTAGCCATCACATAAACTCAAGTCCTTACAAGTTTTCCAAAATTAACAAATTGTGCACAAGTATATACACATATACTAATGTACTTAACCAATTACCATATACAATCCAATTGTGGAAACACATAAGACATGCCCTAAGTCCTCAACTACCATGGCATATAACATAATAGGCCTTGAAAACATCAAAGATGCAAATAAATCATAAATTAATTAAATGGAAACTAACTAAACAAAAATCAATTAATTTCTCTAGATTGTAAAATACCACAAAATGGCATGAAATTAATACATATTAATCAACATACCATGATTAACACAAATATGAAATTAAAAGTCAAATTAAGCTACTAAAACACTTAGCAAATTTTTAATTAACTTAATTAATTAAAAATCTCTAGATTTCAAAAGCCATCCAATAATTCCAAAAATAATATATGATGAACAACAAGTCATGGGCTCTCTAAATTTCACAATTATAATCTAATCTAAGCATGCTATAACTATGAAATTAAATTATCATTTAATTAAAAATAAAACCCATTCTTAGATCAAAAAGATAAACTTTTATACAAGTTATATAAACCTCAAAAACAAGTAAAATACTAAGATTATAAACATGAAACACCCCCTATCTCACTTTGAGATGAAAACCTTAAATTACACCAAAATCAAACTCCACAAAATGCGATGAAACTTCGGGGTTACGACGGGGACAAGGAGAGCAAGAAATCCTCTTGTGACAAGACCCAAATTCAAGCTTGAACTCACACCCCAAAAATCCGAGTGCTACAAATTGAAATTTGATCAGATAGAAATCACCGCATCGTCGAGGACATAAAAAAAGTCTCCATCCGGAAGAGGTGAATAAAAGAGGAAGAAGATGAAAAGAGGAGAGAGAAATGACAACCCTCAAGCTCCTCTAATGGTGGCTGGCTGCTGCCACTTTAGGAAAGAAAAAGATGAAATGACTTTTTTTCTCATCCACCTACCCTAAATAGGTCAAAAAGGTGTCTTGAAGGGCCTTGTCCAGATCCAAAAAGTGAAATCTTTCAAGACGCGCTTAAATGAAGATGGTCCATGAACAAAAAAGATTCAAAATGGAATTCTAAGATCAATGGAAAAAACAGGGTAAAAAATCGAGTCCTGAGCAAGGAGATATGCCTCGGACAAGTTTGACGACTAACGGGAAAAGAAAATTCAAAATAAATAAAATAAAAATTTGAAAAATATTCTGAAAGTGCCAAAGTTAATAGAAAGTGAAAATAACCCCATCATGAAGATTTCAACCCAAAACGAGAAACTTTTTCGAAAACTTTTCATAAATGCCCCCCACTGAATAACTCAAAAAGTGAATTTCCCAAAAAGTCCAAAATGAAGTGCCATTCAAAAGATACATTTAAAAGAACCTTAAATACAAAATATCATCAAAAGATAATTACGAAAAACACCCTTAGTAAAGATAATAATTTTCAAGAATCTTTTCATTTACGCCCCCATAGGTAAAAGTAAACATCTAGCATGCTTTTCTACAAAAGTAAAAATGCATAACACATGGAAATCAAGTAAAATGAATGCATGCAAGACCGGAATCAAATTTGAGCATGACCCGATAGGTTACGCAAAATGAAAAGACAGTGAAAAAGACGGAAAAAGAAAACTTAAAAAAAGTTGGGAAGGAAAATGACAGGGTCATTACAATCATGATACTTCTTTAATTCCTCCAATTCAATTGGTGTCATACGATACGGTGCCATATAAATTGGTGCAGTATCCGACATCAAATTAATAGCAAATTTCACCTCTTAGTGTGGGGACAACTCCGTTAAGTCCTCTGGAAAAACATCCAAAAAATCCCGCACAACTGCCGGATAATCAACCCCACAAAACTCAACACCATAATTGGAAAAAAGGCTAGGCAAGAAAAATTCTTGTCGATCCCGACCTCTAACACCATAGAAAGAAGGAATGAGGGAATCATATTAATCTCCCATAAAACAGAAGCAATCCCCATTCGGGGTACAAACTGACACTCTACCCCTGAAACAATCAATAACAGCTCTGAAGGATGATAACCAGTCCATCCCAAGAATGATGTCAAACCCTGTCATCTTGAGAAGGATGAGTTTGAACTCAAGCACACGTCTGATAATCATGATGGAACAACCCTGATAAACTCTACCAAGAGTGACTGAACCCTCGACAGGTGTGTCAACACAAAGTGGCCTGTCTAAGTGATTAACCTCCAACCCCAATGCTCGTATAAATGCTGAAGTAATGAATGAATAGGAAGCACCAGAATCAAATAGCACTCTACCCAAGAATGGGACATAAGAAACATACCCCTGACAACAGACAGACTAGATGATGGCTGTTGTGTCAGTTTATTACCACTCGCAATAGCACGAATCTTTATAAGATAGTACTATATAGAGGGCGTCGATCCCACAGGGAGATGAGTGTTCTTTGCTTTATTCTTAACTAATCCAATTTATTTATTTATTGGTTTACAGATAACTGGTTGAATTGATTGATTGATTGGTTGTCATGAACATAAAATAAAATTACCCTGAATTTAAACTAAGAGATCATAGAGAGAGAAGTTTTAGGACTTTTACTTCACCACAACCTTCATACTATGGTTAATTGTTCAACTCTAGGGATTTAACAATTTATATTTCAAATGAATTGAACTCAATAACATTCGTTTAATTTAGTTTTAAAGAAAGATGTTTTATAAATTTCAATTAACTATAACCTATCTGTGGTTAACATGGACTATCCACCTACCTACTTTAACTAATTTTGCAAACAATCCATCTTTCCTAAGCATAGACTATGAAAACATTCATTTATAAAAAACATTGGAACACCAATACATGATTTCCGTTCTTATGTCCGGCAGGGCTTCGCCAGATATCGTCCAATAAGAATGGGGTGAGAATAATCTAAGAATAGTTATATCTAAGACAAGGTAATAACTTTTCAGAAACTATTTAAAACTTTGAAATCCAATTGAGTTGTCTCATTTCCTCATAATCATGTAATCAGAAATATAATATATTAAAAATATCCCAGAGTTAAAACAACCAAACTATAGTACTTAGCTCGGGTTACATCAGTGCCCTAAGAGAGGAATTAGCTACTTATGACAATACAAAATATCATCTGTGTTGTTGTTGTTATCTTCATCGTCACGGACGACATTTCTGTTCTCAGAATCTTTACCTTCTAAGGTTCTGGAAACCTTAAAAGCCACCACCCCAATATCAGACTTCTCAATAATATGAGAAAAATGAACCACTTCTACTAAGGCCTGTGCCTTTTTTTATAGAAGAAATAAGGGTTTGGTGGGCTTTTAGGTCTTCTGGCCCAATTGGATTGACTTAAGACTTGGAAAAGAATAATCCCCGTAACTTGTAAATCTAATCTATCATGGAAGGCTTGAACTTAAGAAGTAGAGCTCGAGCTATTTGGCCCAGGCTCGAGCTTTGGGAACAAAGCTTGAGCTTTCTTGAAATATGGCTCGAGCTTCAAAGGATGGTGCTCGATCTTCACTTTTGTACTTAATCAAATTTCTTTAACTATTTGCCGAAGCGTCTTTTCCATCAACACTTAGAATATTTTTGGGTCTTCTTCTTTTAACATTGCTCAATCCTAGCTTCATAGGGCTCGAGCTTTAGGTACTAAGCTTGAGCTTTCGGGGCTTAGGGCTCGAGCTCTGAATGACAGTGCTCGATCCTTGAGGTCTGGAACGAGGCTGTGGCAGCTTGGCTTTCTTGAAATCAACTCTTTAAATTCCGACACCACATTCTCAAGCTTGTAAGGAAAGGCTCGAGCACCCTTGGGAAAGGCTCGAGCACCACTGTGTAGGGCTCGAGCTCTGGAGGTACAAGACTTGAGCTTTAATGCCTTATTGATTTTTCTTCTTTTTCTTGCATAGCTCGAGCCTTAGAACTTAAGCTCGAGCTTTGGTACTTGGATTCTTCCAAACTTCGCTATTTAAGCTCTCGGCTTGCTTTAAATGACCGGCAATGACTCTATAAACTTCGATATCAGTCTTTTCATCATAAAGTCTCAGTTTTAACCGTTTCTCTGAGAAAGTACTTAAAAACACACAATGAACATAAATCAGTCTAACAACGGATAGAAGTATTACTTCAGGTCTTAACATACGTATATTTAGGGGCTTGAATATGCAATATTCAGCGCTTATCACACCTCCAAACTTACATATTGCTAGTCCTTTAGCAATACAGAACTAAGAATCCGCTTTTGTGGGAATCACGATTACATTTAGCCTATGTAACAAGCCTTTAAACCCCTAGGTTGCCCTTAGTGGACGAGTTCTAGTCTCGTGAGGGTTTCTAGTGATGGTACCCATAAACATCTCAGACAGTGCCTTAATTACAAAATAAGCTCATTCAAGCCTGTTTTCAAATCATGATATCCCAGCATTTCATCAATCAATCAACTACAGCAGGTATAGCTAATTATATTAATCAGAAAAACTTTCAACTTCCAATTTCAATTTAGCAGCCATGGTCCCTATATGTCAGTTTAATCATTTATTCAATAATCTCAATCTCTAAAACTCTTTAAAATATGTCAGTTTACTATCCATACTTGTATTTATTCCTTACTATCCCTCAACTTACAGGTAAACTTTTCAAATTCTAACTCCCAAGGCATTATTATTTTTCTCTACAGGTATGCATTTTTTAAAAAGGATACTGTGCAATGTTCAGGTTTATTAAACTTTCTAAAGCATCCATGTAACGAACATTTGGCCAATGACTCCCAAACCAGACGGTCTTAGGGCATTAAGTGATAAAGCACCCTTTCGGACCTAATTGTTCAAGTAATCTAGGCAACCTAAACCCCTTATGTAACAAGTTTTCAGCCAATGACTCACAAACCAGATGGTTTTAGGGTATTAGGTGTCAGAACACATCCCTAAGGACTTAATTGCTTAAACAATCTAGGTACAGACCTGAACTTAACCATTTTCTACTTCTTTTCTTTACTTCTTTTGTTTGTTTGTTTTTTTTTTTTTTCTTTCACATTGGTAAAGAATTTTTTCCATTTATTGCACACATACCCTTTCTTTCCTTTCTTTATTTTTTATATGCATTGGTTATCAAAATCATCAAATTAACCTGCTCATCTCAGTTTAACTCAAAACAAAACAAGACTTCCAGTTTATACCCCATAGAATTCATGCAAGTGTGAATATGTGTAAAGTGGAGTATTTCAGAGATCAAATTCATCAAACAATTATCATCTTAACAAAGTGGACCACAGGTCACCAACTAATTTCAAAAATTTTAAAAATTCCTTTTCAACATAACTTTGGCATATAGGCCATCTCTAACCAATATAAGACTATATAAAGAAATCATGACAATCAACAAACTCAAAATCACGCTTTAACATCAAAAATCCAGAACCTTGTGTTCAATATATCAAACTTAGTGTGCACATTGTCCTTAATGTGTGAAAATAAAGTAGAGTTAGAAAGATATTACCATACTACACCAGACCAGCAAATATATATTAATATGAAGCACTGAAGGGCAAACTAGAGAAGTCACCCCCAAACTTAGTCCTTAGTGCCTAGCAAAATCATCAAACTCTAACACACATTAGAGTATCAAGTATATGAAGTAATAATAGAGAAATGTCAACATACAGCTCAACTATCAACACAAGTGTATAATAGGTAAAAACATGTATATAAATAATCATGATCAGTACAATGCTTTGAATAATAGACTTAGGGCAGATATACAGTATATAGAATGGAATACATCAAAATACTGCCCTAGTCAACAAAAGATGCCTATCTAGCAAGAACAAATACAGAAAACCCTAGACAGCTAATCTATATAAGATGACGGAGAATTTGTAGAAGTAGAAGCGGCAGATGGAGTGTGGCGTAATAGCTCAGTGAGAATGCTCTGCTGCTCAGTCAGCATCTATCGTAACAATGTTTGGCCAGCCTGCAGCTCTACCACTCTGGCATGTAACTCTCCAATCTTAGCCTGAGAAGAACTATCAGGCTGTGCTGTTGGGGATGCCCTCCTCCTCGGTGGTGCCTGGCCATCAGAGGTATCCATCTCGCCCTTTCTGGCCTCATTGTCATCGTCATCCTCCTCCTCCTTAGCATCACCTCTATTATCGCTAACTGCTGCCTCTGCGTGATCAGCTAGAAGAATAGTAGGTGGAGGTGGATAAGGTGGTACATCAAGCACATATGGCATACCTCAAGCCTTGGCATCCAATCTCTGTCAATCCTCTCGGATCTCATCATCTAGCCCCCATTCCCTCTTCTTTTCCTTGGGCATATGGCCCCAGACATTGTTCCATTGAGTGAAACAATATGTCATGAAAACTATCATGGTCGCCTCATTCGGGGGTAGTGGAACCCCCGAGATTTCCATCAGGTGGGTAATAAGCTTAGGAAACTGAAGTGAGTGGCTAGGAGGGCGTCTAGCCTCTCCCATCTCATCATATAGCTGGCTCATCTGTAGGAACATGATCTTGGGAATGGATACCCAATAGTAGGCATGGAATGCATAGTGCACATCCACCATTTCTGTGCACTACCCTATCTTATGTCCGATAGGGCGACCATTGGCCACAAGGACTGTATCAAGGAACCAAAATCAGCGCGGTAGCTAGGACTTCCGCACCATCTTTAAAGTGGTGGAATGCCTCCCCTGACCTAATGATCTGACCATATCTTCTCTAGTCAGGTTAGGGGGTATCGGTTGTAACTACCCCTGAAGAGCTGCGGGATATCTATGGTGACAGCCCATAGCTCATGCTACTGTTAGATTAATCTCCTCCAAAGTAGCTGTAAAATACTCCTCACCATCGTTAGCATCATCACCAGCATGTAAAACCAAAGTGCGGTAGAAATTACGCACTAATCGAGGATAGGGTATCTGTGTTGGAAGCCTCAGAAATCTCGTCAGCTGAAGAGCTCGTAGGGCCTTTACTGCCCAGAATGTAAATCTATGTCACTTAAAATCAGTAATAACAAAATCTGTCTCCTGCTGTATAGGACTACATCTCCAAGCCTCCGCGAGTGCTATGGCTGGAGTCTGAACAACTCTTTGTTGCAAACGTCTAGGCATCCCTACAACAATGGCCAAAGACCCTTACACACCTCACAACAACTGCTCAAGAATCTCAAAACTGTGCTCTAAAGCTTGAGCCTAAAGGCCTATGGCTCGAGCTCTCTGCTGTGTAAGGCTCGAGCCTAATGTTCCAAAGCTCGAGCTTGCTGCAAGCAATAGCTCGAGCCCAAAGACGAGAGCTCGAGCTTTCTGGGTGGAAACTGAATCAAATCGTCTCTAAAACCTTCCAAATTCATCCAAACTAAGTTTAAAACAACCCCAAACTTCTATTCAATTACACAACAACGCCAAACTCCCAAAAATTTTAACCCAACACCTCCAAAATACCCAAACCCGTGTTCGTCAAATCTATGAGTAGATCTGGAATTTATGTAAGTTTGGATGAGGAACAAAGGTTAGATTATGGAAATTGATGATTCAAACTAAATTTTAAGGGATTTGGGCATGGTTTTGGGGCAAGTTCGTGTTTTATATACAGAAAATATATACGTATATATACATATACATATATCTATATAAAATGAAGAGAGATTGAGAGTAGATCTTACCTTTTGATGCAGGATTGAAGCCTGAGATGATAGAGATGATGAATTTTAAGAGATTGGAGAGACTTGGAAGAGAAGAGAGGCTAGAATGAGTGAAAGCACGAGGGCTTCAAGCTTGGCATGAGGGTTTCTTTTTATTTTAACTAACCAGAGCTCGAGCCGCGCCCTAGGTTTGAGGCTCGAGCTTTGCCTCTGAAAACCCTAAATTTAACGATGGAGTATGGCTCGAGCTCAACGTGTGTAAGCTCGAGCTTTTGATAGCTCAAGCTCGAGTGTCAGGATGTAAGCTCGAGCTCTGTTGAACATTTTTTTTTTTTTGTATTTTTGTATTTTTCAATTTGTAATTTTATTTCTTAACAAATCTAAGTCAAAACTATTCTAAAAATAAAAATAAAACCTAAAAATTAAAACAACAACAAAAACCAAATAAAAATAAAAATAAAAATATAAAATAAACTAAAGTACAGCATACAAATGCTAAGTTTTGCGTCGATAACTCGACAGAATACTAAATTTAATGTTGCTAGCTCGATGGTGAATGACCTCTCTAGTCTAAGTAAATATGATCATGAAGTTCTACTGCCTCCCTGCACACTAACCTCAATGTAGGGTTTTAAAATCTGTCCACTAACTTTAGACAATTGTCCAGTCTTGCAATCTTGTATTTCTCTTGCACCATAAGGCGTAACAGAAATAATCATATATGGACCCTCCCAACGTGACTAAAGCTTTCCTGGAAAAAGTTTCAGGCATGTATTAAACAACCAAACCTTTTGATCGGGTTAAGATTCGATTACAATTAGAATCAACCCTTTGCAATAGCACAAATCATTATAAAATAGGGCTATTGGATGGGTAAGTCGAACCACTGGGATTGCTAGTTTATGGCAATCAAAGTCTTGAAAATCACTTAGTTTGATGAAGGGGGTATAGAGTTTTTGTTTGGTTTGTCACTTGGTAACATGGAATTAAAGATTGCATAAAATAATAAATGCAAGGAATTTAAAGAGGAAAGAAATTTAGATAGAGAGAACTAGGGAAGTGAATCCACTACCAACCCTATAAACATGATAGATTATGATTAAATTGGGGAAAAAACATATATAAGTGGTTATGATATGTAGCAACACATGGTTGTTACATTATCTTCAAGAAATTCACTAAATCAAAAGGCAAGAATAACCTATCAAAGTTTTACATGCTTGAACTACCTAAACTAGGGTGTAGCCTTAGACATGCTCACTAAGCTAGAGATTATCAAACTTTCAATCAAATGATAGAAGCACATGAAGTCAAGAGTCAAGATTAATCCATCAAAGGGAGACCCTATGCTATGGACTAACAAGTTTCTCATAAATCATGCCATCAAAACCATTTCACAATCTCATTTTTATTGTTTATAAAAATGCAAGCCATACAATCATGAGAAATTACCATCTAAGACAAGATAATAGCTTTAACATAATCATTTATATATTAAGCTTCATTACATCAAGATGAGTGCTCTAGATTGTGAAACAACCACATATATACATCATTCCCTAAAATAAACCAAAAACTAAGGCATGCTTACAAGGAAGGGCTTCATTACCTCCCTAGAAAGGGAGTTAGTTACCTATAGAAGCAAAGGAGGAAGGAGAAAGGATGAGGAACCCTTCCATTTTCGCAGCTAGAGGTCACCCACAAGCCAAACTCTCAAGAACTCAATATTTCCCTCACTAAAAATGTCTTCCAATGTGAGATATCTCTTTCCGACCATATAAGCCTTCTATCCATACAAGATAGCCTCCTAACCACCCTAATTTCATGGCTTCAAACTCCTAGAAGAATGTAAACCACACTTTTGGGTCAAAGGGGACAACTTGAGCAAAATCATGGAGTGGGTGAGCAGCTCTCTGCAGATCGGTCGGTGCCCGCAGCGTTGGGCGAGCGCTCGTGCTGTGACGAAGCTACTGCCAATTTTGGCAGGCGCCCACGGCTTCACGAGCCCGCTGCCCATTTTGGCGGGTGCCTGCAACTTTCTTGCAGGCGCCTGAAGTTATCCTCAGCTCTGCGCACCTTTGGTAAAAAGGCCATAACTCTCTGCTCCAAACTCCAAATGATGAATCATTTGATGATTTGGAAAGATAACTCAAAGATCTAAGTTCGTTATGTTTTAATAGGAGTTTAATTCTTAAGTTTGGTGGGTCGAATATGAAGAACAAAGTTGAACTTCACTGCTGCCAAGCTGTTTTTGGCTCCGTCCGTTGATGCGCTGATCACGGCTAACACTTTTTGCAGGGATAACCAGGAGTTCAATAGACACTGGCTTGGTAAAAAATGAAGCTTCTTGGCAATGGCGTGCTTTGATTCATCACAAACTCAACAGAACTTCACTTTTTAGCCATCTTTGGGGAATAACTTGAAAATAAACAAAAACACTCAAATGAAGCTAATATATACAATATGATCAACTAATGGACTTAACTAATGCAAATAAGGGTGCTTGAATATGCAATTTCGGGGCTTATCACACCCCCAAACTTACATTTTGCTAGTCCCATAGCAAAACCAAAAATGAAACTCTTGACAAAATGACAACATTTGAAATGCCATCAACATGCATCAACCATGGTGCAAGAAAATACGCACAGCTCATTTGCAACTTAGAACAGACAGAACATTGGAGACAGAATCATTATGCAGACTACCTTGAGTATATGAAGCCTTGATATAACACAATGGCTAAACACATTTCAATTCTCATGCATCAGCATCATAGTCTATATAAATACTTTAATTGTCATCTCTTTAATAGAAATCAACTCTAACTTTAATGAAAGTGAACTAGATTCTCAATATGTGGCTTTTGCCCTCTTTTTCCAATTTAAAAAACACAAGTCTTCAAATCATTGAATTTCCCTTTTAAATGAGGTCTCTAAGGCATGATTTATTCAAAATACACACATTTATTATTATTATTATTTTATTTATTTAATTTTATGTTTATAATACATATTATGGTCGTGCAATGCCGAGGACTCTTAAGCTTTCTAACCAACCCATGTAGCAGGTGTTAGGCCAACAACTCCCAAACTGGAAGGCTTTAGGGTGCTAAGTGTAAAGACACTCCATGGCTTAATAACTCGAGTTGGCAAGGCTACGAACTCGAACGAACCATATTTATTTATTTTTATTTTTGTGAATGACTGTGCAATGCCTAAGTCCCTTAAGCTTTCTAACCAACCCATGTAGCAAGTGTTAGGCCAGCAACTCTCAAACCAGATGGCTTTAGGGTGGTAAGTGTAAGGACACTCCAAGGGCTTAATAACTCGAGTTAGCAAGGCTATGAACTTAAACTAGTCATTATCCTTATTTATTCAAATTTTTTTTTTTTTTTTTTTAGATTCAATGCCAAAGATATCCATTCATTAGGGTTATCAATTCAATTCAACTGAGTCATGGTCAAGGTAAATCAGGTTGCATGCCTCACAATTGAGTTTCCAGTGTGCATCTATGTAGTGTGAAGTATAGAAGAGTATGAAATCCAACGAAAATCTAATTGAAGCATTTATACAAACCAATTTGAATCAA